CCCCCCCCCCCGCGGGCCGCCCCCCCAACACCCCCCCCCCCCCCCAACACACACACACCTGACTGTGCTGCTTAGAAATTAACTCCACACTTCCATTTTGCACATTTCCACAGTGGAGCCACTAGAGGCTGGAGGTCGGGGGGTCAGTCAGTGTTGATGTTGCTGTGGTAGGACTACATACGTTGTCTTCAGCTGACAGAAGGAAGTGCAGATATTGTTAAATCTGTTTCGTCTTCCACTCTTTAGATGTAATAAATATTTGATTTAAATTTGAAGCAGGCGTCAGAGGAAGGGTGTGAACACGTCGTCTTCATCTGTGTCTGGTGGCTGACTGGATTATGAACATGGCAGCCTTTCACCCTCTGTGGCAGTAGTGCAATTCAGACGATGTCTATGACTTAAGTACAAACACACAGTAGGGAAAATCACCTCCACAAAGTCCCGGGGGTGGGGGGGCGGGGGATCTAGATGAGGTTTCTTTGGTAGCACAGTCAGGTGGTTGTCTGTTTTGAATTCTTCCTCATCATTTTCTAACCTCTGAAGTTTCTTTACCACTACTGTTATAAAACATTATTAAACACCAGCTTCCTCGGACCTATGTACATAAAACTACACCAACCTCAACTCCAGGCTCTGTAAGCAGGGGTGAATGAAGGAGTGAATAAATGAAAGAGTGAATGAACGAATGAACGAACAAACGAACGAACGAGTGAATGAACGAACGAGTGAACGAACGAGTGAATAGCAGCCTAATTGCTTCGGTCAGTCGTCTCAGGGTTGCGTGTCATCATCGTCATCACTAATTTGTCTTCCTGGCCAACATGATTGAACCAGAGTATAAAAGACGAAGACAAAGTCCATTATTGCTTATTCAGTTCTGTGTTTTGCACAGGAAGAAGGAGCTCCAACGCTGTGAAACGCTGTGAAACATTTGTGTGTGTGTCTGCAGCAGACCAGCAGCAGGCGCTGCCTCTGAGATGCTGCTGACAGACCAGAAGTGAAGAGAGTCTGGACGCTGGAACGGGGGTTACTGGGAGTGCTGGGGTAATTGAGGCAGAGACTTCTAGAATTTGCCTTGCCTCCCCCTTTCAGGAGAGCACAGAGGGGGAGTGGTTGTGGTTGATCATGTGATTGTCAGGGGAGGAGTTAGGGCTGCTGCCAGAGGAGGAGGGGCTCCCCTTGTTCTTAATCTGCAACCAGGTCTCGCCCAGGGCTTTGGCGAAGTGGTCGTCCACTGAGCCGGTGATGGACACAGAGTTGGTGGCTGCGGGTTCAGGTTCTTTGTAGTTCTTCCCCAGACTGCGGCGAAAATGTTCTTCAATCACTGGATCACAGGCCGTGTTGGCTGAAAGAGCAACAGAGCATTGATAAAGTCAGACAATCAAAAACACTGGTTAATAATGTTAACCTAACTGCTTATTTATGTTCACTGATGGGAAAGATTAGCCACAAAGACAGAGACCAGACCATCATGACAGGTCACACAATAACAACTGGTACCAACCAGATATCAGTTACTAGTCTCCGACAACCCAACGCCTGCTTCAACAGGTCCACAACAAATATAATTTCAAGAGAAATTCTAAATAATGAAACATGTTTTTTATCTCTGAATTATTTTCACATTATTTACAGAAAGCCCAGTGGTTTAGGTCACATGGTCCAAAGGGTCAGCCCTGGACAGCCCTGATTCGTCCACTCACTGTTGGTTCTCCTGTAGTTAGTGAGGCTGGAGCAGCCGTTGTGGGAGACAGGACAGTGAGACAGGTTGCAGTTGCGATTGTTGGCGGGAGCACAGGTGATCACTGAGGGACGATTCTGAAACACAAACTGTCAATCATCCAACCATCGACAACCTCAATTCAACGACTGACACTTTTTCACAAGTAAAAACCAAACACACTGGGGAGTGGGGGGGGGGGGGTGGGGGAGCTCGTGGGCGGTACCTGCTGGCGCTCCACAGCACTGACTGTGTGAGCCACTGTGGTCAGTGCTGCTGTGCTGCTCCGTGCCGACTCAGCCATGCTGTTTTTGGTAAGAGCCAGTGGCTGCTCCATGACCAGGTGGTGGTGGAGGTGGCCGTGACCATACAGGTGGCTGCTGTGGACGCCCAGGCTGCCGTGCATCACCACTCGTTCAACAGGACTCCGGCTCAGGTCCTTGGACATTGGAGAGCTGCGATAGTCTCCGCTAGGTTTTCTAGGAAACGGAGGGGAAAAAAGGAGTCAGAATTTTAACTGTAAAGACGTTAGGATAGTGGGATCGGATTTGACCAGTGAGGCACTGGATCCAACACAAATGATCAATATAAAGTATATGCTGCAAGAACGAGGCAAAAAAGGCAGAAGAAAAGGAAAGAAAAGGAAAGAAGGAAAGGATGAACGGCAAGGAGACGAGGAGGGAAGAGAGGTACAAAGTTCAAAGTTGTTCCATGTAATGTGTGCAGTGAAGAACTTTTAGCTTCTGTTTTTCAGTCAGATCACCAGATCAGGAGAGAAATTAAAGAGGGCGCCCCTGCTGGACATTTGTTTCCAGTTGAACAATAGTAATTACTTAGCTGTGTGCGTTGAAAGTGGCTTGTGGGAAGGAGTGAGTGTGTGTGTGTGTGTGTGTGTGTGTGTATTACACCCTTCCTGCAGCTCTGCTCCACTCCTTCAATGTGAGGCCCAGTTACAGGGAGCAGAATCGACTGTACTGCCCTCCTACTGTCTCTGCCCCCTCCCCAGCTCAATGCCCCCACATGCTTTCACACACTCACATTTCAACACACACACGACTTCATCCATAGGTCTTATACTGTACATACACACTGACGCTTGATGCTGGTAAACTGTAAGGCAGCAGCAGCAGCAGTAACAGCAGCAGCAACAGCAGCAGCAGCAGCAACAGCAGCAGTAACAGCAGCAGTAACAGCGGCAGCAGCAGCAGCAGTAACAGCAGCAGTAACAGTAACAGCAGCAGCAGTAACAGCAGCAGTAACAGTAACAGCAGCAGCAGTAACAGCAGCAGTAACAGTAACAGCAGCAGCAGTAACAGCAGCAGTAACAGTAACAGCAGCAGCAGTAACAGCAGCAGTAACAGTAACAGCAGCAGCAGTAACAGCAGCAGCAGAACAGCAGCAGTAACAGCAGCAGTAACAGTAACAGCAGCAGCAGTAACAGCAGCAGTAACAGTAACAGCAGCAGCAGTAACAGCAGCAGCAGAACAGCAGCAGTAACAGCAGCAGTAACAGTAACAGCAGCAGCAGTAACAGCAGCAGCAGCAGCAGCAGCAGCAGACTGTGTTCCTTCCCTGTGTGGAGCTACAGTATTTCCACACAGTTTTTCCAGATCTTTCTCTTAGAGTTTGTTTAGATGGAAGTCCAGACAAACAGTTGTAGATACATGTGACCAGGCAACCTGACTGCTGGGTCAGGCATCTGGGGTCCACAGAATACAGAGAGGGGAAAAGCTTGGGTAGGGGGGTGGGTGGGGGGGTTGGGGGGGTCTCCACGGTTAGAAAGAGTCAGGTCAGTAGTTTCCTTCATCTGTGCCCAGAGTCCTCTCTTATTGACTCTTTGTCTTCATTTTCCCTTCTGCTCTCACAACTTCCTGAAGGTTAAAAAGAGGGAGGGGATATAGTGTGTGTGTGTGTGTGTGTGCGTGCGTGGGGGGGTGGGGGGGGTGGGGGGGGGGTC